TTACTCTTTGGCATGTGTAAATTGAGTTTTCTAGCACCATTTGTTCAAGAGGTTCTTTCTTCCAGTGAACATGTTTGGCACCTTTGTCAAAAATAAAGTGACTGAGTGTGTTTGGAACTCTGTGATTTCCAATCTATCTCCCCAATGTTCTGTCCTGTTTTGTTGCCAGTACCATGCATATTTTGTTACAGTACTTTTGCAATATAATTTCAAGACAGGGATTATGATGCCTTTTGTTTTGCCTTTGTTACCTAGTATTGCCTTTGCTATTCTAGATCTCTTCAATTTCCAAATAATTTATCAGGATATTTTCTCTAGGTCTCTGAATTATGTTGATGGTATTTTTATCAGGATTGTATTAAATATGTGTAACAATTTTGGAAGTGTAGCTATTTTTACTCTGTTGGTTCTTCCTATCCATGAGCAAGAAGTATTTTGCTATTTTCTAATAACATCTTCAACCTATTTTTTTCAGAGTACTGTCATTTTCAATGTGTAGATCTTTTACTTCCTTTGTTGAAATGATTCCTATTTCATTTTTTGATTACTATTGGGAAGGGTGTGGTTCCTCTAATTTCTCTGTTAACAAGTTTCTTCTTTGCTGTCTTTGTTACTTTTTTATTGTGCTGGGACAAAATACTTGATACCCCAAATTAAGAATGGAACAGTTTCTATACCTTTATAGTTTGTGGGGGTTTCAGTCCCTACTTTGCTGAGTCTAATGTAGAATGATTCATGGCAGAAGGAAGAAGTTTATGATGACCCAAAATAGCAAGAGCAAAAAGGAAGGGACAACAAAAAGCAAGCCTCTTTCACCATCATATTATATGCAGGCTACCTACTTTATGGTGGGTGTATCACTCACACCCTTAATCCAAGCAATGCACCATGAATCAATCATGAACTCTACAATCCCACCTTAAGACCAAATGAGGCTTTTTATATAATTTTTATTAATTTTAATGAGAAGGGCTGGCCAAAAAGATCATTTGATTAAAGCGCCTTCTTAGGCAGATGCAGGGGCCCTGGAGTTTGATCCCTAGGCCTGCAGTGCTTGCCCCACCCCCAGAGCACGCTGAGACCATTTTTGAGACTGGGCATGGTGGCACATGTCTTAAATCCCAGCACTTGGGAAGCTGTAAACAGAAGGATCACTAAGAATCCAATCTACACAGTGAGATTCTGTGCACCCTGTACACCCTGTCTTAAATATAAAAAATAAAAATAAAAACAATTTTAATGAGAAAGAAACAGCAATGCCAGTTTCAAAACAGATTAGTAGGACAGTTACAGTAATTAATACATTGCATGTTATTGTCTTCATAGTAGTTATTCACAGCACAAGATGCATACATGATCTCTTGTGTAAACAATGGCCATGACTCATCCACATGGCTGACACTGACAAAATATCTACAAGCTGCTCTACATAGTTTCAGGGTAAATCCTGAGGAGTGGGCCAGGGAGATGGCTCAGTGGAATAAGCACTTCTCTGGCAGGTTCAAGGGCCTGAGTTCAATCCCTGGTTCAGAAAAAACAAAACAAACCTGAGATTTGACTGACCTTGTCAGATAGAAAAGTTACATTTTTAGTTATATAGATCTTGTTATAATTTGGTCTTAACCATCCAACAGAAAAACATAACCACGAGGTATAAAAAGTAGTGCTATATTAATATGCTGAGCTGTAAAATTCTCAAGTCAACAATTTCTGACAATTGTTAGCTCTGCTGATAACCCACAACTCTTACAGATTATTGGGCTATATTTGGATATTCTGATGAATTCAAGTACATACAATATTTGAACTGGTGTCAAGTATGAAAAGTTCCTTTAAAGACTTCTCCAAATATCACTTCTCTAACAGCAGTGGAATACCCATCTCTGACAAAGCAAAACAAAAAAGGGGGGATGTAAATGAAAGACCATTCTGTAGTGAAAAAAATATATATGCAAATACAAAATAGTTAGGATAGATATACAGCTACTTTCTCTTAATTCAATGAGATGAATGAGGCTTTGAGGAGACATCTGGACACCAAAGACAACATTGCTCCACTGGCCCTCCAAAGACTCATGCCCATCCTTTTGTGCAAAAGGCATTTTAGTCATTTGAGGACAAAAATCTGAGACATAGAAGACAGGCATTCAGTTAGCAATCATGAAAGAAAAAAAATCATAAATATAACTGTATGGCTTGTCACTGTCATGTTTCCTAGCTCTTCTCCTTTCCCTCTTTTGATTAGTTAGTTCTTGAGATCTTCCTTTCCTTTTACTTGTATTATACCTTCCTACTTGTATTTCTTCTTTTGAGTTCTTATACTAGGGAAACTATACGATATTCACACATGTGTGTCCAGTTTATTTCACTTATAAGTATATGTTCAAGTGGCATCCACTTCAATATAAAGGTTTTGAGTTTATCATTCTTTATAGCTGAGTAATAATCCATTGTATAAAAATATCACATCTTTTTCATCCATTCTTCAGGGGATGGGCATCTTGGTTGTTTCCAAGATTTGGCTATCACAAATTGTGCTGCTATAAACATAGGCACACATATATCACTATGATATAATGTTTTCAGTTCCTCTGGGAAAACTCTCAGTAGGGGGATAGCTGGTTTGAATGGAATTTCCTGTCCTAGTTTTTAAAGGAGTCTCCACTCTGATTTCCATAATGGTT